TTAGGGAAAGCTGCTAATTTGTATCCATACTTGTTAGAAAAATTCTTATACATTTATAAAAATAGTTAATTAGCGGATAATTTCTAATGAAGATGTGCTTGTAAGTTTTCATACTGTTCCTATATATGCTAACATTCCCGTTCAGGAAGTCATTCTGACTCTGATCTGCCTTGAAATAGCTACAGTATAGCAGGGAAGGAATAATATTTAGTATAATATCCATTTATAACGTTTTAACCTATCTATTAGCATTAATTATTTTGGATAGATGCGAAGAGAAAAATGCTTACATTAAATTAAACATGTTACATTTGACGATAATTTGTATGTGCAGACACAAGGACTTGCGATTTGATTTTGTTTGGCTCCCATTTTGGAAAAAAAGTAATAGCTGAATTTGAGGAACTCTTAATAAAGATGTTATTCTAGCCCCTAAGTTGATGGATATATTTAGGACTGATTTATCATTCTGCAGTATGGTAAGAAAAGAATAGTTACCTGCTTTCCCTTAGCCAACGTGAAAGAAACATTTGATTGGCATTAGAGATAAAAGAGTTCTAATTGTTAGAAAAGTCGTTAGGTTAGGAAGATTTGTTTAATGAAGCCTATTTTTATTGGTTCCTCTCTGGATTTTCTCTCAAGCCATAATTACAAAACCAAGACGAGAATGCTTAAGCCAATGATTATCAAGAGAAGAGGACTAGCTGATAGAAACTATTTTATCATTGTTGGGATCGTTGAAATATTTATTCAGAGAATATGATTATTCCATTTGGCTTAATCAATAATAATATCCTGTCACTGAGTAATATAATTCGAGACAGAGACAAGCTGATACATTTTCTCGAGTCATAATTTTGCCAGCATGCCTTTTATCTAAAGGCGAGGCGAATAAGTGTGGAAGTGAGTTTAAAAAATTTTAAAAGAAGCCCTTACATTCTTCAGTTATTCCTTCTCTTAAAGTGAAATATTACACATTATTAAGAACCAGCCTTCGCATGATTTTGCGCTCCGGTGGTCGGCCTTATACTTGAGATGAGAACCAGCCTATTCACCAAATATTAAAATAATACAAAAATGCATTTAGGTCCAACAGTGTTATTGGGAAACAAATAAGATGTTTGGTATGGCGCTTTTATCTAGTATCATAATTAAATTTTTATTTTTCAAACAAATTGTTAGGTTAGTGAATGTTCTATATATAATATATTTATTTTGAAGTGTTGCGACAATTTAACCCATTGCGTGTCCCGGCCTTTCGTATGTCTGATCGTCGTTTCACCGTTCATGGTGACTTCCCTAAACTTAAGATAGTAGAAATGATTCATAACCCTACTTTACGGAAAAGGACAATGTCCGGTCTCGTCTGCAAAGGTAAATTTTTTTTCAATTTTACAAATATTAGAAGAGCAATTCCGTCAACGGGACGCTTCACTTTCTCGTAACTCTATTTACTAATTACTGTATATTAGTGGACTTGATAGCCACGAGGTCAAGATCTGTCAGCAAAAAGAATTTAAATGAGTAATTTTTAATTTATTTTTTATCGTCGCAGCATAACCATAAATGCTACACCCGAGCCGAAGAATGCTCCGGTGACACCTCAAGAGGCCTCATCAAAATTTCCGAGAAGGGCGTGCAAGGATGAGGCATTGATTCGAATACAAAATCTTAAGTACGATTATGATTTCGTTCGGCCGACCCCAGCAAAATCTGTTTCGCGTCGCATTACAAGCATGCCTATGTCTCTTCCTCCTCGCCGATCTGTTCAGCAAACTCCATCTGGTCCCAACAAGGATATTTTAGCCAGTCCTAGTAATTGTATTATTCTAACTTTGTATTAGTCCGCAAATTGAGCAATCTTAACATCTCATCTGCTAACAATACTCCGATGCGTAGATCTACTAGTAAGTTTATTTTCTTACTAATTCTGTGCCCTCATTTAATATCTTTAAAA